CATTGGGGTACAGGAGGGGCAGGTGTTATGGGCACAGTGCAGGGTTAGGGGTGAAGGGACGGTGGTGAGACTTGGGGGCCCAGAGCAATGGGGTGGGGCACCGCACCCACAGGGGCACCAAAATGCAAGTTCGCCCAGGGTGCCATTTCCCCTAAGGCCGGCCCTGGTGGTGGCGGCCACGGATCTGGTTCTAGGCAGAGGTGCGAGGGGCAGGGAGAGAGGCAGGGCCCCCACTGCCGGGGGGGAAGGGGCAGGCACGTGCCGGAGTAAGGGGGGGCTGCCCCACCGCGCTCTGCTCCCCCCGCCCCATCGCGGAGCCGCCCGCCCAGGGAAGGGTCGCATCCACCGGGGGAAGGCAGCCGCTCACCTTGGGCAGGTCGAAGGCGGACGGCCCCTGTCCCGCGTCCCGCTCCATCCTGCAGCCGCTGCTTCCCTCCATCCCGCTCTACTGGCGGGACATCGGGGCTGCCGGGACTTTAGAGCCCGGCCCCGCCCAGCTCTCGCGCCGGCCCCGCCTCGCTGACACCCGCCCGCGCCCTTTCCGCGGGGCGCAGCTCGCGGCTCCTCGCAACGTGAGACCCACCGCCCCGTGGCTGCTCCGCTAGGGCGGGGAATCCCTGCAGCCTGGCCCCGCTCCCCTCTGCAGCCAGGGGCTCCCCCACGAACCTCCCTTGCAAGCTGCTTCCTCCTCTCTCCCCCAAAGACCCCGGGCCCCTCGGATCCCCTGCAACTAGGGTGACCAGATGTCCCGATTTTATAGGGACAGTCCCGATTTTTGGGTCTTTTTCTTATATAGGCTCCTATTACCCCCCACCCCCTGTCCCGATTTTTCACACTTGCTGTCTGGTCACCCTACCTGCAACCCCGCACTGGAGACTTTGCAGAGTCGCTCTAGTTAAGGCCCTGCCCTGAGGTGGGCTGCAGTGGGCGAGGCTGGGGGCTGCTGGGTTGAAGGAGAGGAGATGACGCCTGCAGCCAGGGGCCACGATGCCACCATCGCCAATCCTCAGACGCATCGCACCCTGCCACAAAGCAGGGGAGAGAGAGCAAACTAGAGGTCCATTGCAAGCCAGCAGCCAATTGCAGCCCGGGGAGGGTAGCAGATCCTGGGAGACTTGTGTGCAGGTGCCAAACCAACTGCAGAAGGAACCCTTGGCTACACTTCTCTTTTTATTGCACAAGCTCGAGCAGAGCTGGCACAAGTACAGCTCACCGAGCTGGAAATTACATCTTCCAGCTCCAAGGCAGACTCACCTTCAGCTTTGTCTCATGGCCCTTTCAGTCCTGGGGTTCTCTGTTGAGAGACTGCCCACAAGAGGGCCCACCGTTCTCTTGCCTTCTCACCATTCTCTTGTGCTCATCTATCACCTATGTCATTAGGTTTTTCCAGCTCTGCAAATCCAACATCCAGCCATTGAGCCCTCCCCAGCACTTCCTAAAACAACATTAACATTCGGAGTCACAGCAGCAGCTGAAACGTACCAGATTTATAAATATTTCCCCAGAGGCTGTTGGGGCTGAGCCATCCAGCTAAAACTCAGGCTGAAGGAGTATTTAACCTTTATCCTCAGTTTCTTCTTCATCTCTCTACCCAACCCTCCCCACCAACCATCACCTTAGGCCCATAGAGAAATCAAAATCATTATCATGTGACCTGAGAAGGCTAACTCTCCGGTGTGGCTGGCCTGTATTCAGGGCAGGACCTAAAGAGAAAGGACTTTTATGCACTTTGGTAGCTCTGCAATTCTTTGTTCAGCCCCTGAAGTCACTTACAGCAGCCTTAGAGCTCTCCTAACTTACGCTATGACCCCAAGCCATGGTTCTAGCATCTGGAAATAGCCAGAGCAGAGAGACTCTCCTGCCAATCCTTTTCACGACCACTCCCCTTCTCAGCTGCCCAGGGCTGCTGAGTTTAAGGCCTTTTGTCAGTGGAGCAGCACAAAGGGGCCATATCATACTGAAGAAATAGGCCAGGGATCGGCAACCTTTGGCACACGGCTCGCCAGGGTAAGCACCCTGGTGGGCCGGGCTGGTTTGTTTACCTGCTGCATCGGCAGGTTCGGCAGAACACGGCTCCCACTGGCTGCGGTTCGCCGCTCCAGGTCAATGGGGGCTGTGGGAAGCGGCGCGGGACAAGGGATGTGCTAGCCGCCGCTTCCCGCCGCCCCCATTGTCCTGGAGCAGCGAACCGCAGCCAATGGGAGCCGTGATCTGCTGAACCTGCCGACGCAGCAGGTAAACAAACCGGCCCGGCCTGCCAGAGTGCTTACTCTGGCGAGCTGCGTGCCTAAGGTTGCCACTCCCTGAAATAGGCCTTGCATTTCCACAGCCTGAGAAAGTCACTGCTGTGGGCCCTTGGAATGAGCTTGGCAGAGCTAACCCCTGCCCTAGAGTACATAGGAGGGGCTCCATTTACTTCAGTGCGGAATTTGGCCCTCAGCGGCTCCTTCAGAGCAGGTCTGTCCATTGTGGCAGCAGGCCCTGCTTTGTTTATTACAAATAAGGCTGTTGATTAATCACAGTTAACTCATGCGATTAACTCAAAAAAATTAATCACGATTAAAAAGTTAATCGCGGTTAATTGCAGTTTTAGTCACACTGTAAAAACAATAGAATAGCAATTGAAATTTATTAAATATTTTTGGATGTTTTTCTACATTTTCAAATATATTGATTTCAATTACAACACAGACCACAAAGTGTACAGTGCTCACCTTATATTATTTTTTATTACAAATATTTGCATTGTAAAACTGATAAACAAAAGAAATAGTATTTTTCATTTCACCTCATACACGTACCATAATGCAATCTCTTTTTTGTGAAAATGCAACCTACAAATGTAGAGTGACCAGATGTCCTGATTTTATAGGGACAGTCCAGATATTTGGGGCTTTTTCTTACATAGGTGCCTATAACCCCCCCCCCCCCACCCTCTGTCCTGATTTTTCATACTTGCTATCTGGTTACCCTATACAAATGTAGATTTTTTTTTGTTATGTAACTGCACTCAAAAACAAAACAATGTAAAACATTAGCGCCTACAAGTCCACTCAGTCCTACTTCTTGGTCAATCACTAAGACAAACAAGTGTAATTACATTTACGGGAGATAATGCTGCCAGCTTCTTATTTATAATGTCACCTGAATGTGAGAACAGACCTTTGCATGGCACTTTTGTTGCTGGTAGTGCAAGGTATTTATGTGCCAGATATGCTAAACTTTTGTATGCCCCATCATCGTTCAGCCACCATTCCAGAGGACATGTCTCCATGCTGATGACGCTCGTTTAAAAAAAATAATGCCCGTTAATTAAATTTGTGACTGAACTCCTTGGGGGAGAATAGTACGTCTCCTGCTCTGTTTTACCTGCATACTGACATATATTTCAAGTTATAGCAGCACATATTGTTCATTTTAAGAACACTTTCACTGCAGATTTGACAAAACACAAAGAAGGTACCAATGTGAGATTTCTAAAGATAACTACAACACTCGACCCAAGGTTTAAGAATCTGAAGTGCCTTCCAAAATCTGAGAGGGACGAGGTGTGGAGCGTGCTTTCAAAAGTCTTAAAAAAGCAACATTCCAATGCAGAAACTACAGAACGTGAACCACCAAAAAAGAAAATCAACCTTCTGCTGGTGGCATCTGACTCAGATGATGAAAGTGAACATGTGTCGATCTGCACTGCTACTGCTTTGGATCGTTATCAAGTAGAACCCCTCATCAGCGTGGACACATCCTCTGGAATGGTGGTTGAAACATGAAGGGACATATGAATCTTTAGCGCATCTGGCATGTAAATATCTTGCGACGCTGGCTACATCAGTGCCATGAGAACCCCTGTTCTCACTTTCAGGTGACATTGTAAACAAGAAGCGGGCAGCATTATCTCCTGCAAATATAAACAAACTTGTTTGTCTAAGTGATTGGCTGAACATGAAGTAGGACTGAGTGGACTTGTAGGCTGTAAAGTTTTACATTTTTTTCTTTTGTATTTTTGAATTCTATTTTTTTTTACACAATTCTACATTTGTAAGTTCAATTTTCATGATAAAGAGATTGCATTATAGTACTTATATGAGATGAATTGAAAAATACAATTTCTTTTGTTTTTATAGAACAAATATTTGTAATAAAAATAAATATAAAGTGAGCACTGTACACTTTGTGGTCTGTATTGTAATTGAAATCAATATATTTGAAAATGTAGGAAACATCCAAAAATATTTAAATAAATGGTAGCCAATTATTGTTTAATTTTTTTTAATTGCTTGACAGCCCTGCTGTAGACACTAACAATGGGAACATTCCATCAAATCTGCTGACAACTGAGAGCCAAACCAGAACAATGAATTCTTCCTTTAAATGCCTCTGCTGCGACCATTCTGTTCAGATACCTATAGGAAGCTCATCAGCGAGTAGTACATCCACGGAACTCTGTTCCCATCTAGGAGAGCTTAGAAGAACACTGCACTGGTGGTAGTCACATGACCCACTCTCAAGGTGATTTGTAGCAATTTTCCTCTATAGGAAAATGTCATTTCAGTAAAATATACACTTCAGCCTGTACTGTATAAGGTACCATTTTTACTCTGTAACTTTAGACTATTTATTTATTTCCTGTTTCCACAGATTAGAGGTTTTGCTGCTTCCCTTACTTCACCTTCCTTCTGTATCCAGCTTAGAGGTGAATGGATATTTAGCGCTGCCTACACAGACACCTGGAGTCATGGGGATCAGCTGGGGAGGGGTGACGGCAGTTCCTGCTGCACTAATATTGAACACTATTAACCTGTGCTGCTGCTTTTTGGGAATCAGAAAAGGACCAAAGTTCACAGGTGCATGGACAAACTATCTGCAGACTCAGCAGCACCACACACACATGGGCACCAATTGGCATTGTAGGGTTTTAAGATACCGTTAGAAGAAGGGCAGAAGAGGCTTTCTGTGTGTTTTGACAGTTGACAAAATTCAGACTAATTTCTTCCAGGTTCCATCCAGCTCCGAGATATTTCTTTCTGGAAAAGTTTCACACGCTGTCTCTTTGGAGACATTTTTCATGGTAAAAATTGTTTGATAAACTATAAGCTTGTTGTAATAAAAAACACACAACTCTCGGGTAATAAAGTTGAGTGGGGTTTTTTTGTGCAATGGTCTCTTCCCCCCACTTCTATCCCCTGAAATGTGGAATCACAAACTCATCACACTAGATCACATCTATGTTGGGAACAGAGGGTAAGGAGCTATTTTAAATGACATCAGTGCTGTCCAGCTTCATATGCTCCCAAGTGCCGCAGCAACTTCCAGCTGAGAGTGGACTGGAAGCCGGGCTCAATAAATGCAAATCAATCCACTAATTTGACACCAATGTCCCCTCCTATTTGCTAGAGAGCAGCTGCCCTGGCAGTGGTTATTTATCGTCTCTAGGATTGTAATTTGAACTTTGGAGCACAGGTCCTTCAGGGTCCAACCTCATACGCTCAGCATCATTGGGCTGGCTCAAGGTCAAGGTGCTAAAGGAAATGCTGCTGGTGAGGTAAGGCATCCTTGAATTTCACACACACACACACACACACACACACTTCCACGTGCGCCATGACAGAAAGTGGAATCCAAATTAGGGCTCTAGAAGAGGACAGGAACCGACCTGGAATCTCATGCTGTGTTTTCCTCTCATGTCTCCCAAAGATTAATGAATGGACCCCCATGCCACCTCTAGGAATGGAACGAGCGCATTGCACCCCCACGCCACCCCAACCCCCACTTCCCACAAAACAGGAGCTGTAATCACTGGGCCACACTAACCCACAATGGCATTTCTCCAATGCTATGTAGACCGTGGCACTAGCACTAAAGCAGCTGTAAAGAGTGTAACTAGGCTGAGGCAGAAAGGGAGAGAGAAACATTCTCACATGGTGACCCAACACAAAATCTCCTTCTTGGCAAAAGGAAAATTAGAGGAGAACTTAATGTTACAAGTTCAAATTTTATCAAACCAAACAAGGCCATAAACGAGGTCAGAACGTGCTGCCAGACAGAGCAGGAAACCTCCAAGGAGCCCAAGAAATGAGATGGCTGTGGAGCCAGGATAGAGACATTTATGGCTCTGAAGCCCCTAGAAAACAAGGATTTGGCAGCTAGGCAGAAGCTGCATCTGTTTTTGTTTGGTTTTGTTTTACAATCCAACAACCAACCCAGGTCAATCAGCTTCTGATGGATCATGCTGCCAACTTTGCTCCGACATGGCATGTAAGAGCCTGCTCTTGTTCCCATTGAAGTCAGTGGCCATGTTCTCAGTGACTGCAGTAAGAGCTGAGTTGGGCTTTAAATCTCCAAGTCTCCTGTTCATCCAGTCTCCCACATGCTCACAAGGAAGGGAGCAGCCAGGCAGAGAAGAGGACAGAATAACACACATCTATAAAATCAATCACTGCAAGGGATGGGCAAATCTTAGGTCTCTCAGCTCATAGAGTGTGCCTTCAAGTGTTATTTTTAGCCAAAATCAGCTGTTTGCAAACTACAATTGGACAGGAAAGACAGGTGGCATCAGGTTTCCCCTCCGAGCATAAGACCCATGTTAGTAGGGTGACCAGATGTCCCATTTTTAAAGGGACAGTCCCGTATTTAAGTCCTCCTGCAAGTGTCCCAACTTTTTCTTTAAGATGGGCAAATTGTCCCGTATTTTCTGTCTCCTCCTTCCCCTCCCCCCAAGTAGTGGTGGGTCCACTCCTGCTGCTGGCCAGATTCTTGTCGGCAGCCAGGCACTCCCCTCCTGGTCTGTCAGCGCAGCCCCTGTCGCGTGCCAGTTCTCAATGAGCAGGGCCCCCATCCCATTTCCGACCAGCACCGGCTGTGCACTGTGAGCTGCGGTGCCTGGGGATTGCAGGTGGGGCAGGCGCCAGACACTAGCTGGTTATGTGTTGTCTCTGCTGCCCACGCATCGGCCCTTTACATGCTCCCCCTCTCAGCATCCCCCCTGCTTTGCCCCTTCACAACACCCCTCAGCCCCGTTGCTCCTCCATACCCCCCTGGCAGGGCGCATCCCGCTCCCAGTGCTGTGCAGAGAACCAGCCCCTGTTTGGAGCGCTCAGCTCACCAACAGCCTGGCCGGCAGGTTCCTTCCTTCCCCCACTGCCTCTGGTTCGGCTGGTGCCCTGGGAAAGCCCGACTCTCCGTCACAGCCCTGCCTGTGCCAAAGCCCCACACAGCGCTGGCACAGGGAAGCCTCTCTGCCTCTCAGCTAAGCTCTGGCTTGGCAGGGGGAAAGCGATTTCCAGCTGTTCATGCCCCAAACCTGCAGTCTCCACAGCAGCGCCCGGGGCAGGGGCTTAGCATCCTCCTCCCCACCCTGCATCCTACCCGCAGGGAGCCTGGGGCCGCCTCGTCCCCTAGGCACCCTCCCCTGCTGAATCACCTCTCTGGCCGGGTTTGCTGAACCCCCTGCAGTCAGGTTCCCTGGGCCCCGATACACAATGCATTCTGAGGGCTTAACCCCTTCCTGCCCACGCTGTAGCCAGGGGACAAGAGGCAGGTGGGTTATGTCAGTGGCCAGCAGCAGCCTGGAGGTGTTAGCTGCCTTTCAACACTGTGTGGGGAGGAAGGGACAAGCTGCTTCCAGCCACAGGGGACAGGAGACAGAGCGGGGAAGAGATGAGTTCTGCAAAGACACAGGCCGGGTCATCCCTTCCACTGCCCCTCCTCCCCCTGAAGCTGGAAGCAGCTCCCATCCCTCCCCTCTCACATGGTGCTGAAAGGCTGGTACTGGCCACATTCTGGGGTGAACCCTGGCAGAAATCTGGGGGTGGGGAGAAATGTGACCCTTCCTCCCCCATACGTGTTGCCATGGGAAGACACAGTGCTAGGTACCAGGAGAGGCTGGTCCATCCCGGAGGTCCAGCCAGGCATGGAGGGCAGAGAGCACCGGGCAGGGAGGGTTGGGTCAGTCAGTCACCCCCCTCCCCCCGTGATGTGA